GACGGATTACCAGGACGTGTACTCCGAGCATGCGCTGACCAACTGGCAAGTGTCTTCACTGACATTTTCAACATCGCCCTGACCGAGTCTGTAATACCTACATGTTTCAAGCAGACCACAATAATAATGGTTTAAAAAATCTGATAAATAGCATTATGCTGGGTGCTGTGTGAGAATTAAGACAAACTGACATGCTCACCGTTGAACTCGTCATCTTTCTTCTCGAATCCGGAGGACGCTTTTCTTTAATGTGACATTCCTGTTATTTTTCAAAGATTTCTCAGAAAAACAAGGTTATCTCTGTGAGATTTCAACGAAGCACTAAGCGTACGGCAAGCTTTTTATTTTCAAAGCCTTTTACATTTAATTCAGCTCATGTGATGTTAATTTGTTTTTTGCGACCCGCGGAAACAACATTGCAGAAGACCACCACAACATGTAAAATCCTCAAAAGTTGCTACAAGAAACCTGCACGCTATGTCAACAGAGCTCGGTGCTTATTATCGGATTTATTAGGTTACAAAATCTGACTTTTTTTATACAATGTTCATTATATGTTAGAGACCCCACTGAACAATTCAGAAAATGAAGAATCATGTTTTTCGTGGTAAAATGTATTTGATTACATAAGGAAGTGAAATGTCATCACCAAAGCACATTTTCTGCCACCCTACTTGCTGTTATACTTTTGTAAGTTTATAAAGTAGATATGCCTACGCCATGTCTCATTGAACAACAAATAATTATCTCACTTGGCTCATCTTACCTGGTTCCCAGCTCCTAAATGAGAAGGTTTACCAGGTGTATTCTCTGTTCCCAGCTCCTAAATGAGAAGGTTAACCAGGTGTATTCTCTGTTCCCAGCTCCTAAATGAGAAGGTTTACCAGGTGTATTCTCTGTTCCCACCTCCTAAATGAGAAGGTTTACCAGGTGTATTCTCTGTTCCCAGCTCCTAAATGAGAAGGTTTACCAGGTGTATTCTCTGTTCCCAGCTCCTAAATGAGAAGGTTTACCAGGTGTATTCTCTGTTCCCAGCTCCTAAATGAGAAGGTTTACCAGGTGTATTCTCTGTTCCCAGCTCCTAAATGAGAAGGTTTACCAGGTGTATTCTCTGTTTCCACCTCCTAAATGAGAAGGTTTACCAGGTGTATTCTCTGTTCCCAGCTCCAACATGAGAAGGTTTACCAGGTGTATTCTCTGTTCCCAGCTCCAACATGAGAAGGTTTACCAGGTGTATTCTCTGTTCCCAGCTCCTAAATGAGGAGGTTTACCAGGTGTATTCTCTGTTCCCACCTCCTAAATGAGAAGGTTTACCAGGTGTATTCTCTGTTCCCACCTCCTAAATGAGAAGGTTTACCAGGCGTATTCTCTGTTCCCAGCTCCTAAATGAGAAGGTTTACCAGGTGTATTCTCTGTTCCCAGCTCCAACATGAGAAGGTTTACCAGGTGTATTCTCTGTTCCCAGCTCCTAAGTGAGAAGGTTTACCAGGTGTATTCTCTGTTCCCAGCTCCTAAATGAGAAGGTTAACCAGGTGTATTCTCTGTTCCCAGCTCCTAAATGAGAAGGTTTACCAGGTGTATTCTCTGTTCCCACCTCCTAAATGAGAAGGTTTACCAGGTGTATTCTCTGTTACCACCTCCTAAATGAGAAGGTTTACCAGGTGTATTCTCTGTTCCCAGCTCCTAAGTGAGAAGGTTTACCAGGTGTATTCTCTGTTCCCAGCTCCTAAATGAGAAGGTTTACCAGGTGTATTCTCTGTTCCCAGCTCCTAAATGAGAAGGTTTACCAGGTGTATTCTCTGTTCCCAGCTCCTAAATGAGAAGGTTAACCAGGTGTATTCTCTGTTCCCAGCTCCTAAATGAGAAGGTTTACCAGGTGTATTCTCTGTTCCCAGCTCCAACATGAGAAGGTTTACCAGGTGTATTCTCTGTTCCCAGCTCCAACATGAGAAGGTTTACCAGGTGTATTCTCTGTTCCCAGCTCCTAAATGAGAAGGTTTACCAGGTGTATTCTCTGCTCCCACCTCCTAAATGAGAAGGTTTACCAGGTGTATTCTCTGTTACCACCTCCTAAATGAGAAGGTTTACCAGGTGTATTCTCTGTTCCCAGCTCCTAAATGAGAAGGTTTACCAGGTGTATTCTCTGTTCCCAGCTCCAACATGAGAAGGTTTACCAGGTGTATTCTCTGTTCCCAGCTCCTAAGTGAGAAGGTTTACCAGGTGTATTCTCTGTTCCCAGCTCCGAAATGAGAAGGTTAACCAGGTGTATTCTCTGTTCCCAGCTCCTAAATGAGAAGGTTTACCAGGTGTATTCTCTGTTCCCAGCTCCTAAATGAGAAGGTTTACCAGGTGTATTCTCTGTTCCCAGCTCCTAAATGAGAAGGTTTACCAGGTGTATTCTCTGTTCCCAGCTCCTAAATGAGAAGGTTTACCAGGTGTATTCTCTGTTCCCACCTCCTAAATGAGAAGGTTAACCAGGTGTATTCTCTGTTCCCAGCTCCTAAATGAGAAGGTTTACCAGGTGTATTCTCTGTTCCCAGCTCCAACATGAGAAGGTTTACCAGGTGTATTCTCTGTTCCCAGCTCCAACACGAGAAGGTTTACCAGGTGTATTCTCTGTTCCCAGCTCCAACACGAGAAGGTTTACCAGGTGTATTCTCTGTTCCCACCTCCTAAATGAGAAGGTTTACCAGGTGTATTCTCTGTTACCACCTCCTAAATGAGAAGGTTTACCAGGTGTATTCTCTGTTACCACCTCCTAAATGAGAAGGTTTACCAGGTGTATTCTCTGTTCCCAGCTCCTAAATGAGAAGGTTTACCAGGTGTATTCTCTGTTCCCAGCTCCAACATGAGAAGGTTTACCAGGTGTATTCTCTGTTCCCAGCTCCTAAGTGAGAAGGTTTACCAGGTGTATTCTCTGTTCCCAACTCCTAAATGAGAAGGTTAACCAGGTGTATTCTCTGTTCCCAGCTCCTAAATGAGAAGGTTAACCAGGTGTATTCTCTGTTCCCAGCTCCTAAATGAGAAGGTTTACCAGGTGTATTCTCTGTTCCCAGCTCCTAAATGAGAAGGTTTACCAGGTGTATTCTCTGTTCCCAGCTCCTAAATGAGAAGGTTTACCAGGTGTATTCTCTGTTCCCAGCTCCTAAATGAGAAGGTTTACCAGGTGTATTCTCTGTTCCCACCTCCTAAATGAGAAGGTTTACCAGGTGTATTCTCTGTTCCCAGCTCCTAAATGAGAAGGTTTACCAGGTGTATTCTCTGTTCCCACCTCCTAAATGAGAAGGTTAACCAGGTGTATTCTCTGTTCCCAGCTCCTAAATGAGAAGGTTTACCAGGTGTATTCTCTGTTCCCAGCTCCTAAATGAGAAGGTTTACCAGGTGTATTCTCTGTTCCCAGCTCCTAAATGAGAAGGTTTACCAGGTGTATTCTCTGTTCCCAGCTCCTAAATGAGAAGGTTTACCAGGTGTATTCTCTGTTCCCAGCTCCTAAATGAGAAGGTTTACCAGGTGTATTCTCTGTTCCCAGCTCCTAAATGAGAAGGTTTACCAGGTGTATTCTCTGTTCCCACCTCCTAAATGGAAGGTTTACCAGGTGTATTCTCTGTTCCCAGCTCCTAAATGAGAAGGTTTACCAGGTGTATTATCTGTTCCCAGCTCCTAAATGAGAAGGTTTACCAGGTGTATTCTCTGTTCCCAGCTCCTAAATGAGAAGGTTTACCAGGTGTATTCTCTGTTTCCACCTCCTAAATGAGAAGGTTTACCAGGTTTATTCTCTGTTCCCAGCTCCTAAATGAGAAGGTTTACCAGGTGTATTCTCTGTTCCCAGCTCCTAAATGAGAAGGTTTACCAGGTGTATTCTCTGTTCCCAGCTCCTAAATGAGAAGGTTTACCAGGTGTATTCTCTGTTCCCACCTCCTAAATGAGAAGGTTTACCAGGTGTATTCTCTGTTCCCAGCTCCTAAATGAGAAGGTTTACCAGGTGTATTCTCTGTTCCCAGATCCTAAATGAGAAGGTTTACCAGGTGTATTCTCTGTTCCCAGCTCCTAAATGAGAATGTTTACCAGGTGTATTCTCTGTTCCCACCTCCTAAATGAGAAGGTTTACCAGGTGTATTCTCTGTTCCCAGCTCCTAAATGAGAAGGTTTACCAGGTGTATTCTCTGTTCCCAGCTCCTAAATGAGAAGGTTTACCAGGTGTATTCTCTGTTCCCAGCTCCTAAATGAGAAGGTTTACCAGGTGTATTCTCTGTTCCCAGCTCCTAAATGAGAAGGTTTACCAGGTGTATTCTCTGTTCCCAGCTCCTAAATGAGAAGGTTTACCAGGTGTATTCTCTGTTCCCAGCTCCTAAATGAGAAGGTTAACCAGGTGTATTCTCTGTTCCCACCTCCTAAATGAGAAGGTTTACCAGGTGTATTCTCTGTTCCCAGCTCCTAAATGAGAAGGTTTACCAGGTGTATTCTCTGTTCCCAGCTCCTAAATGAGAAGGTTTACCAGGTGTATTCTCTGTTCCCAGCTCCTAAATGAGAAGGTTTACCAGGTGTATTCTCTGTTCCCAGCTCCTAAATGAGAAGGTTAACCAGGTGTATTCTCTGTTCCCAGCTCCTAAATGAGAAGGTTTACCAGGTGTATTCTCTGTTCCCAGCTCCTAAAAATAGAAGGTTTACCAGGTGTATTCTCTGTTACCAGAGGTAATGGACACTTGTACCTCACCCTCTAGACATTGCTCCTCCTCTGTTAATGGACGTTTTATTGGGGCCCTGGAGAGTGCATCTGCTTTGATCAGTGCCTTCCCTGGCTCATACACCATCTTATAGGTGAAACTCAGAAATCTGAGGCGGAAGCGCAGAACTCTGGGAGGCAAGTCGTCCAGTGCTTTTATCCCTAACAGAGCCAACAGTGGTTTGTGGTCAGTCTCTGCTGCTGAGCCTTTCACATGCCCATGTGACGGTACTGGGTCAGTGCTCTCTGTGAGGCCAGGTCTCCTTGGGGATGGTACTGGGTCAGTACTCTCTGTGAGACCAGGTCTCCTTGGGGACGGTACTGGGTCAGCACTCTCTGTGAGGTCTCCTTGGGGACGGTACTGGGTCAGTACTCTCTGTGAGACCAGGTCTCCTTGGGGATGGTACTGGGTCAGTACTCTCTGTGAGACCAGGTCTCCTTGGGGACGGTACTGGGTCAGCACTCTCTGTGAGACCAGGTCTCCTTGGGGATGGTACTGGGTCAGTACTCTCTGTGAGACCAGGTCTCCTTGGGGATGGTACTGGGTCAGTACTCTCTGTGAGGCCAGGCTCCTTGGGGACGGTACTGGGTCAGCACTCTCTGTGAGACCAGGTCTCCTTGGGGATGGTACTGGGTCAGCACTCTCTGTGAGACCAGGCTCCTTGGGGACGGTACTGGGTCAGCACTCTCTGTGAGGTCTCCTTGGGGACGGTACTGGGTCAGTACTCTCTGTGAGGCCAGGCCTCCTTGGGGACGGTACTGGGTCAGTGCTCTCTGTGAGGCCAGGTCTCCTTGGGGACGGTACTGGGTCAGTACTCTCTGTGAGGCCAGGTCTCCTTGGGGATGGTACTGGGTCAGTACTCTCTGTGAGGTCTCCTTGGGGACGGTACTGGGTCAGTACTCTCTGTGAGGCCAGGCTCCTTGGGGACGGTACTGGGTCAGCACTCTCTGTGAGGTCTCCTTGGGGACGGTACTGGGTCAGTACTCTCTGTGAGGCCAGGCTCCTTGGGGACGGTACTGGGTCAGCACTCTCTGTGAGGTCTCCTTGGGGACGGTACTGGGTCAGTACTCTCTGTGAGGCCAGGTCTCCTTGGGGACGGTACTGGGTCAGTGCTCTCTGTGAGGCCAGGTCTCCTTGGGGACGGTACTGGGTCAGTACTCTCTGTGAGACCAGGTCTCCTTGGGGACGGTACTGGGTCAGCACTCTCTGTGAGGCCAGGTCTCCTTGGGGATGGTACTGGGTCAGTACTCTCTGTGTGGCCAGGCTCCTTTGATGTTGTCAAATGCCACCTGTTGCATGTGACCCCATGACCAGTCATTCTCTTTGGTTAATAAGTCTCTCAGGGGTTTGTTTGTATCGATAACTGTGGGAGGAACTTACACACATATGTGGCCTAAGAAGGTTCTGACTTCCGCCACGTTCTGGTGGATGGGCATATCTGTGATGGCGCTGATCTTCTCCGGGTCCATTAAAATAACATCAAATTGATCAGAAATACAGTGTAGACATTGTTAATGTTGTAAATGGCTATTGTAGCTGGAAACAGCTGATTTTTAATGGAATATCTACATAGGTGTACAGAGGCCCATTATCAGCAACCATCAGTCCTGTGTTCCAATGGCACGTTGTGTTTGCTAATCAAAGTTTATCATTTTAAAAGGCTAATTGATCATTAGAAAACCCTTTTGCAATTATGTTAGCACAGCTGAAAACTGTTGTGCTGATTAAAGAAGCAATAAAACTGGCCTTCTTGAGACTAGTTGAGTATCTGGAGCATCAGCAATTGTGGGTTCGATTACAGAATCAAAATGGCCAGAAACAAATAATTTTCTTCTGAAACTCATCAGTCTATTCTTCTTCTGAGAAATGAAGGCTATTCCATGTGAGAAATTGCCAATAAACGGACGATCTCATACAACGCTGTGTACTACTCCCTTCACAGAACAGCGCAAACTGGCTCTAACCAGAATAGAAAGAGGAGTGGGAGGCCCCGGTGCACAACTGAGCAAGAGGACAAATACATTAGAGTGTCTAGTTTGAGAAACAGATACCTCACAGGTCCTCAACTGGCAGCTTCATTAAATAGTACCCGCAAAACACCAGTCTCAACGTCAGCAGTGAAGAGGTGACTCCGGGATGCTGACCTTCTAGGCAGAGTTGCAAAGAAAAAGCCATATCTCAGACTGGCCAATAAAAATAAAAGATTAAGATGGGCAAAAGAACACAGACACTGGACAGAGGAAGATTGGAAAAAAGTGTTATGGACAGACAAATCGAAGTTTGAGGTGTTCGGATCACAAAAAAGAACATTTGTGAGACGCAGACCAAATGAAAAAATGCTGGAGGAGTGCTTGATGCCATATGTCAAGCATGGTGGAGGCAATGTGATGGTCTGGGGGTGCTTTGGTGGTGGTAAAGTGTGAGATTTGTATAGGGTAAAAGGGATCTTGAAGAAGGAAGGCTATCACTCCATTTTGCAACGCCATGCCATACCCTGTGGACAGCGCTTGATTGGAGCCAATTTCCTCCTACAACAGGACAATGACCCAAAGCACAACTCCAAACGGTGCATGAACAATTTAGGGAAGAAGCAGTCAGCTGGTATTCTGTCTATAATGGAGTGGCCAGCACAGTCACCGGATCTCAACCCTATTGAGCTGTTGTGGGAGCAGCTTGACCGTATGGTACGCAAGAAGTGCCCATCAAGCCAATCCAACTTGTGGGAGGCGTTTCAGGAAGCACGGGGTGAAATTACCTCAACAAATTGACAACTAGAATGCCAAAGGTCTGCAAGGCTGTCATTGCTGCAAATGGAGGATTCTTTGATGAAAGCAAAGTTTGAAGGACACAATTATTATTTATATTAAAAATCTTTATTTCTAACTTGTCAATGACTACATTTCCTATGCATTTTGCTATATTTCCTATTCAAACTCATTTCGTGGATGTTTTCATGGAAAACAAGGAACTTTCTAAGTGACCCCAAACTTTTGAACGGTAGTGTATATACATACACTAAGTATTGGTGCTAAACTGTGTGTTATTGGATGCTAGCATGCTAGTTAGCTAGCTGAATAAAGTAAGTTGAGTCTAGTCCTTGAAACATTGAACCGCTGTAGCTTACAACAATTCTAATTTCTAAAGTGGAAGTTGGGAGAGTTTTATTCAGGTGGTTCAGTGAAACAATTATAGTTTCTGAGGTGGAAGTTGGGAGAGTTATATTTTTTTGGTGAGGGAGGCCTTGCTCTCTCCTTTCCCAGATGTTTAGTTCATTTCATTCCGATCTCCTCTGCATTATTGTAGCCATCTGCTACAGCCTGTCAACTATGCCTCTGCCTATCCCTGTTCTCTCCTCTCCGCACAGGCTACACAAACACCTCACACCGCGTGGCTGCTGCCTCTCTAACCTGGTGGTCCCTGCACGCACCACACACCTGGAGTTCCAGGTCTCAGGCAGCCTCTGGAACTGCCGTTCTGCTGCCAACAAGGCTGACTTCATCCCAGCCTATGCTACCCTCCAGTCCCTCGACTTCCTGGCGCTGACGGAAACATGGATTACCACTGAAAACACTGCTACTCCTACTGCTCTCTCCTCGTCTGACCATGTGTTCTCGCATACCCCGAGAGCATCTGGTCAGAGGGGTGGTGGCACAGGAATCCTCATCTCTCCCAAGTGGTCATTCTCCATTTTTCCCCTAACCCATCTGTCTATCTCCTCATTTGAATTCCACGCTGTCACAGTCACTAGCCCATTTAAGCTTAATATCCTTGTCATCTATCGCCCTCCAGGTTCCCTTGGAGAGTTCATCAATGAGCTTGACGCCTTGATAAGTTCCTTTCCTGAGGATGGCTCACCCTTCACAGTTTTGGGGGATTTCAACCTCCCTACGTCTACATTTGACTCATTTCTCTCTGCCTCCTTCTTTCCACTCCTCTCCTCTTTTGACCTCACCCTCTCACCGCCCCCCCTACTCACAAGGCAGGCAATATGCTTGACTTCATCTTTACTAGATGTTGCTCTTCTACTAATCTCACTGCAACTCCCCTCCATGTCTCCGACCACTACTTTGTATCCTTTTCTCTCTCGCTCTCCTCCAACACTACTCACTCTGCCCCTACACAGATGGTAACGCGCCGCTGCAACCTTCGCTCTCTCTCTCCCACTACTCTCTCCTCTTCCATCCTATCATCTCTTCCCTCTGCTCAATCCTTCTCCCTCCACTCTCCTGATTCTGCCTCCTCAACCCTCCTCTCCTCCCTTTCTGCATCCTTTGACTCCCTGTGTCCCCTATCCTCCCGGCCGGCTCGGTCCTCCCCTCCAGCTCCGTGGCTTGACGACTCATTGCGAGCTCACAGAACAGAGCTCCGGGCAGCTGAGCGGAAATGGAAGAAAACTAAACTCCCTGCTGACCTGGCATCTTTTCACTCCCTCCTCTCTACATTTTTTTCATCTGTTTCTGCTGCTAAGGCCACTTTCTACCACTCTAAATTCCAAGCATCTGCCTCTAACCCTAGGAAGCTCTTTGCCACATTCTCCTCACTGCTGAATCCTCCCCCCCCCCCCCCCCCCCCCCCCTCCTCCCTCTCTGTGGATGACTTCGTCAACCACTTTGAAAAGAAGGTTGACGACATCCGATCCTCGTTTGTAAGTCTAATGACACTGCTGGTCCTGCTCACACTGCCCTACCCTATGCTTTGACTTCTTTCTCCCCTCTCTCTCCAGATAAAATCTTGCGACTAGTGACTGCAGGCCGCCCAACAACCTGCCCGCTTGACCCCATCCCCTCCTCTCTTCTCCAGACCATCTCCGGTGACCTTCTCCCCTACCTCACCTCGCTGATCAACTCATCCTTGACCGCTGGCTATGTCCCTTCCGTCTTCAAGAGAGCGAGAGTTGCACCCCTTCTCAAAAAACCAACACTCGATCCCACTGATGTCAACAACTACAGACCAGTATCCCTTCTTTCTTTTATTTCCAAAACTATTGAGCGTGCCGTCTTTAGCCAACTCTCTTGCTATCTCTCTCAGAATGACCTTCTTGATCCAAACCAGTCAGGTTTCAGGACTGGTCATTCAACTGACACTGCTCTTCTCTGTGTCACGGAGGCTCTCCGCACTGCTAAAGCTAACTCTCTCTCCTCTGCTCTTGTCCTTCTAGACCTGTCTGCTGCCTTTGATACTGTGAACCATCAGATCCTCCTCTCCACCCTCTCCGAGCTGGGCATCTCCGGCGCGGCTCACTCCTGGATTGCGTCCTACCTGACCGGTCGCACCTACCAAGTGGCGTGGCGAGAAGCTGTCTCCGCACCACGTGCTCTCACCACTGGTGTCCCCCAGGGCTCAGTTCTAGGCCCTCTCCTTTTCTCCCTATACACCAAGTCACTTGGCTCTGTCATATCCTCACATGTCCTCTCCTATCATTGCTACGCTGACGATACACAACTAATCTTCTCCTTTCCCCCTTCTGATAACCAGGTGGCGAATCGCATCTCTGCATGTCTGGCAGACATATCAGTATGGATGACGGATCACCACCTCAAGCTGAACCCTGGCAAGACGGAGCTGCTCTTCCTCCCGGGGAAGGACTGCCCATTCCATGATCTCGCCATCACGGTTGACAACACCGTTGTGTCCTCCTCCCAGAGTGCGAAGAGCCTTGGCGTGACCCTGGACAACACCCTGTCGTTCTCCGCTAACATCAAGGCGGTGACCCGATCCTGCAGGTTCATGCTCTACAACATTCGGAGAGTACGACCCTGCCTTACACAGGAAGCGGCACAGGTCCTAATCCAGGCACTTGTCATCTCCCGTCTGGATTACTGCAACTCGCTGTTGGCTGGGCTCCCTGCCTGTGCCATTAAACCCCTACAACTCATCCAGAATGCCGCAGCCCGTCTGGTGTTCAACCTTCCCAAGTTCTCTCACGTCACCCCCCTCCTCCGCACACTCCACTGGCTTCCAGTTGAAGCTCGCATCCGTTACAAGACCATGGTGCTTGCCTATGGAGCAGTGAGGGGAACGGCACCTCCGTACCTTCAGGCTCTGATCAGTCCCTACACCCAAACGAGGGCATTGCGTTCATCCACCTCTGGCCTGCTGGCTCCCCTTCCTCTGCGGAAGCATAGTTCCCGCTCAGCCCAGTCAAAACTGTTCGCTGCTCTGGCACCCCAATGGTGGAACAAGCTCCCTCACGACGCCAGGACAGCGGAGTCACTCACCACCTTCCGGAGACATTTGAAACCCCACCTCTTTAAGGAATACCTGGGATAGGATAAAGTAATCCTTTTACCCCCCCCCCCCCCAAAAAAAAATAAAATAATAATAATAATAATAATAATAATAATAATATTTTGGAAAGTGGTTATCCCACTGGCTATAGGGTGAATGCACCAATTTGTAAGTCGCTCTGGATAAGAGCGTCTGCTAAATGACTAAAATGTAAATGTAAATGTATACATATCTTTTTAAATTATATTTTCCTTAATTACTTTCTAACCCTACCACCCCTCCCCTATTGGAGTTAACTAATGAACAACAACACCCAGGCTTCTATTTCCAGCTTATACTATATACATTTTATGGACACAGTCTATTTTACAGTAGTTATATATAGTTTGTTTTTACTCCTGTCCTTCCTCTACCCAACCTCTCCCATCTATTTCTGATGTCCATCCTGTTTGATTTATATTTGCCATATATTTTTAACTATGCTGTTTCACAAAGTTCTGATCCGATGTACATTTTACGGACACAGTATATTTTACTTTAGTTATCTTGTTGTTATTAGTCCCACCCTTCAGCTCCATTCAACCCCTCCCATCTATCTCTTAACACCATCCATGTCGGTTTTCTATTTGCTATATATTTTTCAACTGTGCTGTGATGTTTCACAAAAGTTCTGAGCCTTTCTATTCTCATAGTTTCTACAGATTGTAAATGAAAGATAAAGATTTTTGCTAAAAGTATTATATTATTGATCGATTGAATATGACTTTTCAAATCACCCAGTAGTGCTATCTGCAGAGTTATCTCCAGGGAAATGTTGCAATTCTTCAGCCATTCCTGGACCTGTGACCAAAACCAATCTACATATGGACAGTACCAAAATAAATGATGTAATGACTGTCTCTTCGCAGCAAAATCTGCAGAGCTGGGAAGGTTGTATCCCCCATATACAGTGGGGAGAACAAGTATTTGATACACTGCCGATTTTGCAGGTTTTCCTACTTACAAAGCATGTAGAGGTCTGTAATTTTTATCATAGGTACACTTCAACTGTGAGAGACGGAATCTAAAACAAAAATCCAGAAAATCACATTGTATGATTTTTAAGTAATTAATTTGAATTTTATTGCATGACATAAGTATTTGATCACCTACCAACCAGTAAGAATTCCGGCTCTCACAGACATGTTAGTTTTTCTTTAAGAAGCCCTCCTGTTCTCCACTCATTACCTGTATTAACTGAACCTGTTTGAACTCGTTACCTGTATAAAACACACCTGTCCACACACTCAATCAAACAGACTCCAACCTCTCCACAATGGCCAAGACCAGAGAGCTGTGTAAGGACATCAGGGATAAAATTGTAGACCTGCACAAGGCTGGGATGGGCTACAGGACAATAGGCAAGCAGCTTGGTGAGAAGGCAACAACTGTTGGCGCAATTATTAGAAAATGGAAGAAGTTCAAGATGACGGTCAATCACCCTCGGTCTGGGGCTCCATGCAAGATCTCACCTCGTGGGGCATCAATGATCATGAGGAAGGTGAGGGATCAGCCCAGAACTACACGGCAGGACCTGGTCAATGACCTGAAGAGAGCTGGGACCTCAGTCTCAAAGAAAACCATTAGTAACACACTACGCCGTCATGGATTAAAATCCTGCAGCGCACGCAACGTCCCCCTGCTCAAACCAGCGCATGTCCAGGCCCGTCTGAAGTTTGCCAATGACCATCTGGATGATCCAGAGGAGGAATGGGAGAAGGCCATGTGGTCTGATGAGACAAAAATAGAGCTTTTTGGTCTAAACTCCACTCGCCGTGTTTGGAGGAAGAAGAAGGATGAGTACAACCCCAAGAACACCATCCCAACCGTGAAGCATGGAGGTGGAAACATCATTCTTTGGGGATGCTTTTCTGCAAAGGGGACAGGACGACTGCACCGTATTGAGGGGAGGATGGATGGGGCCATGTATCGCGAGATCTTGGCCAACAACCTCCTTCCCTCAGTAAGAGCATTGAAGATGGGTCGTGGCTGGGTCTTTCAGCATGACAACGACCCGAAACACACAGCCAGGGCAACTAAGGAGTGGCTCCGTAAGAAGCATCTCAAGGTCCTGGAGTGGCCTAGCTGAAAGTCCGTATTGCCCAGCGACAGCCCCGAAACCTGAAGGATCTGGAGAAGGTCTGTATGGAGGAGTGGGCCAAAATCCCTGCTGCAGTGTGTGCAAACCTGGTCAAGACCTACAGGAAACGTATGATCTCTGTAATTGCAAACAAAGGTTTCTGTACCAAATATTAAGTTCTGCTTTTCTGATGTATCAAATACTTATGTCATGCAATAAAATGCAAATTAATTACTTAAAAATCATACAATGTGATTTTCTGGATTTTTGTTTTAGATTCCGTCTCTCACAGTTGAAGTGTACCTATGATAAAAAATTACAGACCTCTACATGCTTTGTAAGTAGAAAAACCTGTAAAATCGGCAGTGTATCAAATACTTGTTCTCCCCACTGTATATAACAACTTATTGGTTGCAAGAATTTTGTAGAATAATTTCAGTTTTGAATCCGGCGTCATTTTGTGTAGCAGTTCATAAACCATGTGCCATGGAATCTGGATGGAAATCTATGCAAATCAATGGAAAATCTTTTCCCAACTATTTTGCTTTCTATATGGCACAACTATCAATTTTTTGGTCTTTAAATGAAACTGGTATACTTTGTTATTCATCACAATTTTCTTTAACCAATTTTGTTCTTTAATGCAGGGCCGACAGACAAGTTCCTTACTTTTTCCCCCTTCCACTTGCCTCTTCCATTCTTGCGGTAATGCTGCAATTATTTTGTTGTAATTTTGGGTAGAGCAGACATTTCCATATATTTTTGTTAGCTGCATATGTGACATAACTTCACCAATCCTATTTATGATATCATTTACCAAGATGATACCTTTTTTTAAACATTTTTTCAAGAAATAATGTTTTTTCATCAATTTGTATATTTGAGTTTAACCACAATATTTGTTGTATTATTTGTTCTGTCTTTTCTGGTGGATTAAACCGAAATTGCAACCAACTTTCTCTGGCTTGTTTTAAAAATAGCGATATTTTGGAGATTATTTCATTTTAAAATAACCGAAAGTGAGAGGTTGTAATCTGAATAAAGGGAAAAGGCCATTCTTGAACATGGGGTGAGAAAATCTTACTACTTTGCTAGAGAACCAGTTCGGATTTAAGTATAACTTTTGTATGACTGCCGCCTTTAGTGAGAGGTCTAATGCTTTAATATTTAATAATTTCTGCCCTCCGAATTCATATTCATTATATAAATAGAGTATTTTAATTTTGCCTGGCTTGCAATTCCAAATAAAATTGAATATTTTTTGCTCATATAATTTTTAAAACAGGTTGCTAGGTGTAGGCAAGACCATAAGCAAATAGGTAAACTGGATTTTCCACCATTTGACAGGTATTTTCCTTTCCATGGTAGCAAGAGCTTATCCATTTTTGCTAACTTTCTATAAAAAAAATGTGGAGTGAGATCATTTATTTATTTCGGGATATGTATACCGAGTATGTCCACATCACCTTCAGACCATTTTATTGAGAAACTACATGGTAATGTAAAAATTGTATTTTTTTTGTGATCCAATATGTAATATAGTGCATTTATCATAATTTGGTTGTAATCCAGAGAGGTTAGAAAAAGTATCTAGATCCTCTATAAGGATGTGGAGGGATCCAAGTTGTGGATTTAAAAGGAAACATGAATCATCAGCGTACAATGACACCTTTGTTTTTAAACCCTGGATTTCTAATTCCTTGATATTATTGTTGGATCTGATTTTAACAGCTAATATTTCGATGGCAAAAATAAATAGATATGCCGATAGTGGACAACCTTGTTTTACTCCTCTTGACAGTTTAAAACTTTGAGAAGTAGCCATTATTTACTATTTTACACCTAGGGTTACTATACATAACTTTAACCCATTTTATAAGAGATTCTCCAAAATTGAAATATTCCAGGCATTTATATATAAATTCCAGTTGTACTTTATCAAAAGCCTTTTCAAAGTCTGCTATGAATACCAGGCCTGGTTTCCCAGATTTTTCATAGTGTTCTATTGTTTCCAGTACTTGTCTTATATTATCTCCAATGTATCGTCCATGTTAAAAACCTGTCTGATTAGGATTAATAATATCCGACAATACCTTTTTAATTCTACGCACTATGCATTTTGCTACAATTTTTGCATCACAACACTGAAGTGTAAGGGGCCTCCAATTTTTTAAATGGACTGGATCTTAATATTTTCCACTTGGATCCTGTTTCAGTAATAATGAAATCAGACCTTCTTGTTGCGTGTCTGATAATCTACCATTTATATAACACAGGATAATGTGGTTTCTGTTAATGATGGCAATACATATAACACAGAACACAGCAGACAACAATGATGATGTGATGACATCAGACTGATATCAGTGTAATGCTGCAACCTGCAATGCTTTAGGCTGGGATTCATTCAGATTGCGGGTTATAGGCATTGCAGCTTTTAAAGGCAATGTTCCTTCATTCATGGAGATCCCATTCACGGTAAACGTAGCTCAGTAGAGCATGGCGCTTGTGGTTGTGGGTTCGATTCCCATTCACGGTATACGTAGCTCAGTTGGTAGAGCATGGCGCTTGTGGTTGTGGGTTCGATTCCCATTCACGGTAAACGCTATATATGTCGGCTCCATGGGAAATTGTCTTTAAAAACCGCAATACCTATAACCCGCGATCAGAATGAATCACTGCCGTAGAATGATCCAGTAATCATATTCCATTACAAGATAACATTAGAATGATCCAGTAATCACATTCCTTTACAAGATCATGTTGCGTAATACTAATTCATTATGCCTTGGTGAAGCTGTTACCATGGCTTGTTTCTAGCAGCTTGGTCAGGGTGTTGTTACCTTCTAACAGCTTGGTCAGGGTGTTGTTACCTTCTAACAGCTTGGTCAGGGTGTTGTTACCTTCTAGCAGCTTGGTCAGGGTGTTGTTACCTTCTAACAGCTTGGTCAGGGTGTTGTTACCTTCTAGCAGCTTGGTCAGGGTGTTGTTACCTTCTAACAGCTTGGTCAGGGTGTTGTTACCTTCTAACAGCTTGGTCAGGGTGTTGTTACCTTCTATCAGCTTGGTCAGGGTGTTGTTACCTTCTAACAGCTTGGTCAGGGTGTTGTTACCTTCTAACAGCTTGGTCAGGGTGTTGTTACCTTCTAACAGCTTGGTCAGGGTGTTGTTACCTTCTAGCAGCTTGGTCAGGGTGTTGTTACCTTCTAACAGCTTGGTCAGGGTGTTGTTACCTTCTAACAGCTTGGTCAGGGTGTTGTTACCTTCTAACAGCTTGGTCAGGGTGTTGTTACCTTCTAACAGCTTGGTCAGGGTGTTGTTACCTTCGGCAGATCATTACATTGCAGCTCTATAATATGTCTGACGTCTGTTAGAATTGATGGGATTTTTTTAGTGGACTTTTAGATAAAGCAGAGTTAATCACGAACATATAATTAGAATTCTCTGTTGCTAGGCAAGAACTTAATTGGTTCATTTCACTGGATGTGTGTGTGTGTGTGAAGTGGGGATCTGACCTAGGGTCGAATTCCTTGTCCTTACCTAATCCATGGCTGTCCTACCTTATCAGGGACTGAAACCAGACTGTGGCCTTTTGCCTCTCTCCTCAAACAAAGTGGAAAGAGCGGCGCCCGAGTTGAACAGAGTTTAGACCAGACTAATCATGAGTAATTACAGCATGACGGGAGGGAAGAGAGGAGTGGGTTTGGGTACGTTCGAAAGATTGAGTGTGGACCTGTCATGTCCAACAATCAATCTTCAGGTCAAGCCAGGGAGAGCCGGGGTTGAACAGAGTTTAAACTGAACATTAGTGTTTTTGCATGATAAGGGCTGGATTGATTATACTACTATTGATTCTAAACTGAATAAAAGTCCAATTTAGCCGCTATCATAGACTAAGGAAGTGGGCGGAGCAGTCGAGAGGGGGAAACTGAAGATGGTTGTGGGGGAACCCAAGAGGGAGGGGCTTTAAGCTAGGATGTGAATATGACTATATAAACGGAGGGCTGAGAGGTAGACGGGAGGATGCTCTGCAGACCAGCTCGGCTTTGTCTAATTGTAATAAAGTCTTTCTTAATTCTACAAAAACTCTGGAAGAACTTTGAGTTTTACTAAGTATAGTGATAATTTTCCACATCAGAATCACCACAGGCAGTAGGGTTAGAGAAACATTATTATCCTTAGAACTGCAGGGACCTCGTAGTAACACCCCCTCCTCCCCCCCCACCCTCCTCCCTCCCCCACCCTCCGCACCCCCCCCCACCCTCCTCCCTCCCCCCCCCCGCCTCCCCCCCCCCCCCCCCACCCGCCTCCCTCCCCCCCTCCAGTTTACTTATTAGCCAGTTAGCCGGTTAGCCAGGTAGCACAGTCAAACAGTTAGCACAGTTAGCCGGTTAGCCAGGTGGCACAGTCAAACAGTTAGCACAGTTAGCCGGTTAGCGTCCCACGCTGATGTTGCAGGTCTTGCAACTGGGGTCCTTGTTAGCATTGATGGTGGACATGCTACTGAGTTGGTGTCCTTGGATCTCCTCCACGCTGCCTAGGGCCAGGTCCACGGGGTCGGTGTAGATCACCTCCAGAATCACATCCTGGGCGTGGTGGAACACCAGCCGCCCCCCCTCCTCCTCCTGGGTGCATGTCAGGAAGCGGTTGTCTGAGATGTCCAGCGCCGGGAGGCGGCCCTTACAGAATAGGTCCCCTGGGGAGCCCTCTGGGGCCAGCACCAGGATCACGTAGTGGTAGGCTGTGTACATGCAGTAGAAGTCCCCGAAGTACAGGTTGGTCTTGGTGTTGAACAGGGCCTCGGCCTGGATCTGGAAGCGGTAGCGTCCGTAGGGGGAGTCCTGGGGGGGCTTGCCTGTGTTGAACTCCGTGTTGCAGCTGAAATAGATGCCTTCCAGCTTGCCGCTGATGGGAGAGCCATGGCTGCCACTGTTGTCCTTTACAGCCGGGAGCATCCGGTTGTCCTGTGTCTCTCTGGAATCACAAGAGGGGCTTATCACCACACCAGACCACGTTAATCAATCAGCATGTAAACTCTATCAAACACTACACTATCAGCAAACAAACAGAACTCTGAGTCTACAACAGAACAGAACTCTGCCTCTACTGGTCATCTTCCTATTGGTCCTATCCGGCTCCAACGGCCAGGAAAAATAGCTATTAGAAAACAAACACAATCCTTTCCTCGCTACCCACCACAGATCACTTTTAGAATGCCAGAACGTATCTCAAACTGAGTCACTCTTTGAGAATCTTAATCATTTGACAGATAGTGAGAGAGGTAAGAGGTTCCATAATGCAGAACCAGAAGCTGTCAGTGTCTGCTGAGGAGGCTTTGACCTGAGTGCTCCACTGTGTAAAGAAGACATGATGACATCACTAGAGGCTCTTTCAGGTTCTATTGAAGATAATACTATACATAATAAACCAGCTCACTGAGTGCTACATTAGTCTGTTAGTGGCTGTTGTCTGGACCACAGGAGAGCAATACAATACTATTACCAATACTATTATCAATACAATGCTATTACCAATAATATTATCAATACAATACTATTACCAATAATATTATCAATACAATACTATTACCAATACTATTATCAATACAATGCTATTACCAATACTATTACCAATACAATACTATTACCAATAATATTATCAATACAATACTATTACCAATACTATTATCAATACAATAATATTACCAATACTATTACCAATACAATGCTATTACCAATAATATTATCAATACAATACTATTACCAATACTATTATCAATACAATACTATTATCAATACTATTACCAATACTATTATCAATACAATTATCAATACAATACTATTAACAATACTATTACCAATACTATTATCAATACAATACTATTAACAATACTATTAACAATACTATTATCAATACAATACTATTACAATACTATTATCAATACAATACTATTACCAATACTATTACCAATACTATTATCAATACAATTATCAATACAATACTATTACCAATACTATTATCAATACTATTACCAATACTATTATCAATACAATACTATTACCAATAATATTACCAATACAATGCTATTACCAATACTATTATCAATACAATACTATTAACAATAATATTACCACTACTATTATCAATACAATACTATTACCAATACTATTACCAATACTATTACCAATACTATTACCAATACAATTATCAATACAATACTATTACCAATACTATTATCAATACTATTACCAATACTATTATCAATACAATACTATTACCAATACTATTATCAATACAATACTATTACCAATACTATTATCAATACAATTATCAATACAATAATATTACCAATACTATTATCACTACTATTATCAATACTATTATCAATACAATACTATTACCAATACTATTATCAATACAATACTATTACCAATAGTATTACCAATACTATTACCAATACTATTACCAATACAATTATCAATACAATACTATTACCAATACTATTATCAATACTATTACCAATACTATTATCAATACAATACTATTACCAATACTATTATCAATACAATACTATTACCAATACTATTATCAATACAATACTATTACCAATACTATTATCAATACAATTATCAATACAATACTATTACCAATACTATTATCAACCCAATACTACCTTCTACTCTCTCATTACCAATAGAAAGCTCTTCACCTTTTAAAGGTTGAGATGCTATACGTACCTTGCTTTATTGAAGTAGTCCTTCTGCTGGTTCCGATAAAACACTGAGAGTCTCAGCATCCTACCCGCTATCCCCTCTGCCTTCTCCAGCAACTGAGTCAGATGCACCGTAGAGTAATCTAAAAAAAATACAAAAATATAAAAGCACTTATTTGAAAGTCTTCAACTTGCACTTTATTACAAGCCATTCCACAGGGGATTAAAACCTGAGGAAGTTGTCATTTGGTTGCCAGTTGATTGTCAGTTGGTTGCAAGTTGGTTGCTAGTTGCTGCTGTATAACTCTAACCCATCAGCTGTCTGTCTGCTCTCTGACAGGGCTCTTCCCTCCATCTGTCCTGCTGTATAACTCTAACCCATCAGCTGTCTGTCTGCTCTCTGACAGGGCTCTTCCCTCCATCTGTCCTGCTGTATAACTCTAACCCATCAGCTGTCTGTCTGCTCTCTGACAGGGCTCTTCCCTCCATCTGTCCTGCTGTATAACTCTAACCCATCAGCTGTCTGTCTGCTCTCTGACAGGGCTCTTCCCTCCATCTGTCCTGCTGTATAACTCTAACCCATCAGCTGTCTGTCTGCTCTCTGACAGGGCTCTTCCCTCCATCTGTCCTGCTGTATAACTCTAACCCATCAGCTGTCTGTCTGCTCTCTGACAGGGCTCTTCCCTCCATCTGTCCTGCTGTATAACTCTAACCCATCAGCTGTCTGTCTGCTCTCTGACAGGGCTCTTCCCTCCATCTGTCCTGCTGTATAACTCTAACCCATCAGCTGTCTGTCTGCTCTCTGACAGGGCTCTTCCCTCCATCTGTCCTGCTGTATAACTCTAACCCATCAGCTGTCTGTCTGCTCTCTGACAGGGCTCTTCCCTCCATCTGTCCTGCTGTATAACTCTAACCCATCAGCTGTCTGTCTGTTCCCTGACAGGGCTCTTCCCTCCATCTGTCCTGCTGTATAACTCTGACCCATCAGCTGTCTGTCTGTTCCCTGACAGGGCTCTTCCCTCCATCTGTCCTGCTGTATAACTCTGACCCATCAGCTGTCTGTCTGCTCTCTGACAGGGCTCTTCCCTCCATCTGTCCTGCTGTATAACTCTAACCCATCAGCTGTCTGTCTGCTCTCTGACAGGGCTCTTCCCTCCATCTGTCCTGCTGTATAACTCTAACCCATCAGCTGTCTGTCTGCTCTCTGACAGGGCTCTTCCCTCCATCTGTCCTGCTGTATAACTCTGACCCATCAGCTGTCTGTCTGCTCTCTGACAGGGCTCTTCCCTCCATCTGTCCTGCTGTATAACTCTAACCCATCAGCTGTCTGTCTGCTCTCTGACAGGGCTCTTCCCTCCATCTGTCCTGCTGTATAACTCTAACCCATCAGCTGTCTGTCTGCTCTCTGACAGGGCTCTTCCCTCCATCTGTCCTGCTGTATAACTCTAACCCATCAGCTGTCTGTCTGCTCTCTGACAGGGCTCTTCCCTCCATCTGTCCTGCTGTATAACTCTAACCCATCAGCTGTCTGTCTGCTCTCTGACAGGGCTCTTCCCTCCATCTGTCCTGCTGTATAACTCTAACCCATCAGCTGTCTGTCTGCTCTCTGACAGGGCTCTTCCCTCCATCTGTCCTGCTGTATAACTCTAACCCATCAGCTGTCTGTCTGCTCTCTGACAGGGCTCTTCCCTCCATCTGTCCTGCTGTATAACTCTAACCCATCAGCTGTCTGCTCTCTGACAGGGCTCTTCCCTCCATCTGTCCTGCTGTATAACTCTAACCCATCAGCTGTCTGTCTGCTCTCTGACAGGGCTCTTCCCTCCATCTGTCCTGCTGTATAACTCTAACCCATCAGCTGTCTGCTCTCTGACAGGGCTCTTCCCTCCATCTGTCCTGCTGTATAACTCTAACCCATCAGCTGTCTGTCTGCTCTCTGACAGGGCTCTTCCCTCCATCTGTCCTGCTGTATAACTCTGACCCATCAGCTGTCTGTCTGCTCTCTGACAGGGCTCTTCCCTCCATCTGTCCTGCTGTATAACTCTAACCCATCAGCTGTCTGTCTGCTCTCTGACAGGGCTCTTCCCTCCATCTGTCCTGCTGTATAACTCTAACCCATCAGCTGTCTGTCTGCTCTCTGACAGGGCTCTTCCCTCCATCTGTCCTGCTGTATAACTCTAACCCATCAGCTGTCTGTCTGCTCTCTGACAGGGCTCTTCCCTCCATCTGTCCTGCTGTATAACTCTAACCCATCAGCTGTCTGTCTGCTCTCTGACAGGGCTCTTCCCTCCATCTGTCCTGCTGTATAACTCTAACCCATCAGCTGTCTGTCTGCTCTATGACAGGGCTCTTCCCTCCATCTGTCCTGCTGTATAACTCTAACCCATCAGCTGTCTGTCTGCTCTCTGACAGGGCTCTTCCCTCCATCTGTCCTGCTGTATAACTCTAACCCATCAGCTGTCTGTCTGCTCTCTTACAGGGCTCTTCCCTCAATGAAACTCTCTCTCCCTCCAGCTCTCTCTAATTCTCCCTCCATCTCTCTCTAATTCTTCATGCACTCCCTCTCCCTTTTTCTCTCTCTATTTCGATCACTCTTTCTTTTCTGTTTCTCTCTCTCTTTCCACCTCTCTGTCACCCCCTCCCTCCACCCCTTGTTCTCACCCCCAGTGCAGAGTTGGATGATCTCACTCCATTCAGAGACAGCGTAGTTACCGTCACTCTGTTTGGAGGCAGTCTGGACAGCTACAGTGTACTCTGTCCTGGGGCTCAGGAACCAGTGGCCTCTCACTGTCATGGGCAGTGGCACCGCCTTCGCCACCAGCTTAGTGGGGACATCCTGAAACAGAGAGACAGACAACCAGCTTAGTGGGGACATCCTGAAACACAGTGACAGACAACCAGCTTAGTGGGGACATCCTGAAACACAGAGAAAGACAACAAGCTTAGTGATATCATCCTGAAACACAGGGGCAGACAACAATCCAGCTTAGAGGGGACATCCTGAAATACAGGGACATACAACCAGCTTAGTGGGGACATCCTGAAACAGAGACAGACAAACAGCTTAGTGGGGACATCCTGAAACACAGAGACAGACAACCAGCTTAGTGGGGACATCCTGAAACACAGAGACAGACAACCAGTTTAGTGGGGACATCCTGAAACACAGAGACATACAACCATCTTAGTGGGGACATATTTAAACACAGAGACAGACAACCAGAATAGTGGGGACATCCTGAAACACAGAGACAGACAACCAGTTTAGTGGGGACATCCTGAAACACAGAGACAGACAACCAGTTTAGTGGGGATATATTTAAAGATAGGGACAGACAACCAGATTAGTGGAGACATCCTCAAAGACAGAGACAGACATAGAACTTAGTGGGGACATCCTGAAACACAGGGACAGACAAACAGCTTAGTGGGGACATCCTGAAACACAGGACAGACAACCAGTTTAGTGGAGACATATTTAAACACAGGGTCAGACAACCAGAATAGTGGTGACATCCTGAAAGACAGAGACAGACAACCAGCTTAGTGGAGGCATCCTGAAACACAGGGACAGACAACCAGCTTAGTGGGGACATCCTGAAACACAGGGACAGACAAACAGCTTAGTGGGGACATCCTGAAACACAGGGACAGACAACCAGCTTAGTGGGGACATCCTGAAACACAGGAACAGACAACCAGCTTACAGTGCATTCAGAGAGTATTCAGCCCCATTCCCTTTTTCCACATTTTGTTACGTTACAGCCTTATTCTAAAATGGTTTAAATAAATAATACATCTCTTCAATCTATACACAATACCCCATAATGACCCAATACCCCATAATGACCCAATACCCCATAATGACCCAATACCGCATAATGACAAGGTGAAAACAGGTTTTTAGACATTTTTGCAAATGTATTGCAAATAAAAAACAGAAATACCTTATTTACATAAGTATTCAGACCCTTTGCTATGAGACTCAAAATTGAGCTCAGGTTCATCCTGTTTCCATTGATCATCCTTGAGTTTCTACAACTTGATTGGAGTCCACATGTGGTAAATTCAATTGATTGCAGACACTTGAAACCCCACCTCTTTAAGGAATACCTCTGACAGGATAAAAGTAATCCTTCTACCCTCCAACCTACCCCACCCCACAAAAAAAATAAAAAAAATAATAATATATATATATATATCTATATATACACTGCTCAAAAAAATAAAGGGAACACTAAAATAACACATCCTAGATCTGAATGAATGAAATAATCTTATAAAATACTTTTTTCTTTACATAGTTGAATGTGCTGACAACAAAATCACACAAAAATTATCAATGGAAATCAAATTTATCAACCCATGGAGGTCTGGATTTGGAGTCGCACTCAAAGTGGAAAACCACACTACAGGCTGATCCAACTTTGATGTAATGTCCTTAAAACAAGTCAAAATGAGGCTCAGTAGTGTGTGTGGCCTCCACGTGCCTGTATGACCTCCCTACAATGCCTGGGCATGCTCCTGATGGGGTGGCGGATGGTCTCCTGAGGGATCTCCTCCCAGACCTGGACTAAAGCATCCGCCAACTCCTGGACAGTCTGTGGTGCAACATGGCGTTGGTGGATGGAGCGAGACATGATGTCCCAGATGTGCTCAATTGGATTCAGGTCTGGGGAACGGGCGGGCCAGTCCATAGCATCAATGCCTTCCTCTTGCAGGAACTGCTGACACACTCCAGCCACATGAGGTCTAGCATTGTCTTGCATTAGGAGGAACCCAGGGCCAACCGCACCAGCATATGGTCTCACAAGGGGTCTGAGGATCTCATCTCGGTACCTAATGGCAGTCAGGCTACCTCTGGCGAGCACATGGAGGGCTGTGCGGCCCCCCAAATAAATGCCACCCCACACCATGACTGACCCACCGCCAAACCGGTCATGCTGGAGGATGTTGCAGGCAGCAGAACGTTCTCCACGGCGTCTCCAGACTCTGTCACGTCTGTCACGTGCTCAGTGTGAACCTGCTTTCATCTGTGAAGAGCACAGGGCGCCAGTGGCGAATTTGCCAATCTTGGTGTTCTCTGGCAAATGCCAAACGTCCTGCACGGTGTTGGGCTGTAAGCACAACCCCCACCTGTGGACGTCGGGCCCTCATACCACCCTCATGGAGTCTGTTTCTGACCGTTTGAGCAGACACATGCACATTTGTGGCCTGCTGGAGGTCAATTTGCAGGGCTCTGGCAGTGCTCCTCCTGCTCCTCCTTGCACAAAGGCGGAGGTAGCGGTCCTGCTGCTGGGTTGTTGCCCTCCTACGGCCTCCTCCACGTCTCCTGATGTACTGGCATGTCTCCTGGTAGCGCCTCCATGCTCTGGACACTACGCTGACAGACACAGCAAACCTTCTTGCCACAGCTCGCATTGATGTGCCATCCTGGATGAGCTGCACTACCTGAGCCACTTATGTGGGTTGTAGACTCCGTCTCATGCTACCACTAGAGTGAAAGCACCGCCAGCATTCAAAAGTGACCAAAACATCAGCCAGGAAGCATAGGAACTGAGAAGTGGTCTGTGGTCACCACCTGCAGAACCACTTCTTTATTGGGGATGTCTTGCTAATTGCCTATAATTTCCACCTGTTGTCTATTCCATTTGCACAACAGCATGTGAAATGTATTGTCAATCAGTGTTGCTTCCTAAGTGGACAGTTTGATTTACATTTTACATTTACATTTACATTTTAGTCATTTAGCAGACGCTCTTAACCAGAGCGACTTACAGGAGCAATTAGGGTTAAGTGCCTTGCTCAAGGGCACATTTACGTCATTTAGCAGACGCTCTTATCCAGAACGACTCACCAATTGGTGCGTTCACCCTATAGCCAGTGGGATAACCACTTTACAATTTTTTTTTTTGGGGGGGGGGGGGGGGGGGGGGGGGGTAGAAGGATTACTTTATCCTATCCCAGGTAATCCTTAAAGAGGTGGGGTTTCAAATGTCTCCGGAAGGTGGTGAGTGACTCCGCTGTCCTGGCGTCGTGAGGGAGCTTGTTCCACCATTGGGGTGCCAGAGCAGCGAACAGTTTTGACTGGGCTGAGCGGGAGCTATGCTTCCGCAGAGGAAGGGGAGCCAGCAGGCCAGAGGTGGATGAACGCAATGCCCTCGTTTGGGTGTAGGGACTGATCAGAGCCCGAAGGTACAGAGGTGCCGTTCCCCTCACTGCTCCATAGGCAAGCACCATGGTCTTGTAGCGGATGCGAGCTTCAACTGGAAGCCAGTGGAGTGTGCGGAGGAGGGGGGTGACGTGAGAGAACTTGGGAAGGTTGAACACCAGACGGGCTGCGGCATTCTGGATGAGTTGTAGGGGTTTAATGGCACAGGCAGGGAGGCCAGCCAACAGCGAGTTGCAGTAGTCCAGACGGGAGATGACAAGTGCCTAGATTAGGACCTGTGCCGCTTCCTGTGTAAGGCAGGGTCGTACTCTCCGAATGTTGTAGAGCATGAACCTGCAGGAGCGGGTCACCGCCTTGATGTTGGCGGAGAACGACAGGGTGTTGTCCAGGGTCACGCCTAGGCTCTTCACACTCTGGGAGGAGGACACAGCGGAGTTGTCAACCGTGATGGCGAGATCATGGAACGGGCAGTCCTTCCCCGGGAGGAAGAGCAGCTCCGTCTTGCCAGGGTTCAGCTTGAGGTGGTGATCCGTCATCCATACTGATATGTCTGCCAGACATGCAGAGATGCGATTCGCCACCTGGTTATCAGAAGGGGGAAAGGAGAAGATTAGTTGTGTATCGTCAGCGTAGCAATGATAGGAGAGGCCATGTGAGGATATGACAGAGCCAAGTGACTTGGTGTATAGGGAGAAAAGGAGAGGGCCTAGAACTGAGCCCTGGGGGACACCAGTGGTGAGAGCACGTGGTGCGGAGACAGCTTCTCGCCACGCCACTTGGTAGGAGCAACCGGTCAGGTAGGACGCAATCCGGGAGTGAGCCTCGCCGGAGATGCCCAGCTCGGAGAGGGTGGAGAGGAGGATCTGATGGTTCACAGTATCAAAGGCAGCAGACAGGTCTAGAAGGACAAGAGCAGAGGAGAGAGAGTTAGCTTTAGCAGTGCGGAAAGCCTCCGTGACACAGAGAAGAGCAGTCTCAGTTGAATGACCAGTCCTGAAACCTGACTGGTTTGGATCAAGAAGGTCATTCTGAGAGAGATAGCAAGAGAGTTGGCTAAAGACGGCACGCTCAATAGTTTTGGAAAGAAAAGAAAGAAGGGATACTGGTCTGTAGTTGTTGACATCAGTGGGATCGAGTGTTGGTTTTTTGAGAAGGGGAGCAACTCTCGCTCTCTTGAAGACGGAAGGGACATGGCCAGCGGTCAAGGATGAGTTGATCAGCGAGGTGAGGTAGGGGAGAAGGTCACCGGAGATGGTCTGGAGAAGAGAGGAGGGGATGGGGTCAAGCGGGCAGGTTGTTGGGCGGCCTGCAGTCACAAGTCGCAGGATTTTATCTGGAGAGAGAGGGGAGAAAGAAGTCAAAGCATAGGGTAGGGCAGTGTGAGTAGGACCAGCAGTGTCATTAGACTTAGCAAACGAGGATCGAATGTCGTCAACCTTCTTTTCAAAGTGGTTGACGAAGTCATCCACAGAGAGAGAGGGGGGGGGGGGGGGGGGGAGGATTCAGCAGGGAGGAAAATGTGGCAAAGAGCTTCCTAGGGTTAGAGGCAGATGCTTGGAATTTAGAGTGGTAGAAAGTGGCCTTAGCAGCAGAAACAGATGAAGAAAATGTAGAGAGGAGGGAGTGAAAAGATGCCAGGTCGGCAGGGAGTTGAGTTTTCTTCC